ATTAGATTTAACTGAGAATTAACTTTTAACAAGGCATAAATGAGAAAAAGTATTCATGTAGCCGACCTCACATAGTGGGATAAAGGCTTGGTGTTGTCATTGTAGTTGTTGTCAATAGGCTTGGATAGAAGTAAGTTAATCACATATGCAACACAACAAGATAATAAAAAAAGTAACCAAGTTTAATCAAAAGATAAAAATGTATAAACCAAATCAAATTAGAAACTAATAAGTTGTTGGGTTGAGAATGCACCATTATCAACATTATTCTTATGAAATATGATTGTCAAGAGATCAAGAAAAAGATTGTCAACTTGACTATACTGAATTAAAAATCAACATCTACAAATTTGATGGAGTGTTGACTCTTCCAAAATACTAAATATATATGTTGCAAAGTGTAAAAGAAGTTTCCAACATATAACAACATGGATACCTATCGATTACTACTAGCATAACCAAAATAGCATGAACACATAACAACAACAAGACAACAATTACAATTAATCGTCAAATAAACTCCATATCATAATAACCTCATCATAGCAAAAAAAGTAGCAAGACGAATGAAAAAGTATAGGATACCCAACCAATGAAGACTGGACATTTTTTACATTTTAGAATCAAATTCCAAACTTTAAGTAGCCATACCTCTCTAACCTCCCCTTTCCTTGATTAAAAGTAACAAATATTTTAATATTAAAATTAATGCCTATAAAAGAGGAAGATTTACTTCTAAACAACAAATCATTTCGCTCCCCTCAAATAAATTAAGGGGTTTTTACATCCAAACCACTTTATAACATATATTTTTATGTATTTAACACCCTAAACATTAATATTTCATTTTTACCGCCTCAACACAATTCTATCATCATATATACCACTCCGTCCATACCACCTCTCACAACATTATCCTTGAAATCTCATACTACTGACAATGATATGAATGAGTTGATTAAACAATCGAATGGGAATTTACATGCCGAGATTGTTATTGTATTTCAAGAAGTAGATGTAGATGAACCAATTTCAAATCCTATGGAGGTTGTGAGATCAGACATGGTTGGATGTTCCATTACAAATATGTGTATTAAAGATTTAGAAGTTGGCACACTCTATGATGATGCAATAACTTTCAAACAAGCTATGTGTTCAATAGCCATTAAAAATAACTTTGGTGTTAGAATCAAAGGAAGTGATAAGAAACGTGTTATTGAAATATGTTCTTACCAAGGATGTCAGTGGAGAATTCATGTATCCCTTTATGAAGATACTCAGTCTTTCTAAATAAGGAGAGTTAATGGAGAACATACTTGTCCTGGTGTCAATCGTGCAGGGAATAGACTTGCCACATCTGCATGGGTTGCTAATGAAATTCAGGATCTAGTGAAGAGGCACCAGGACATTCCATCAAATGAAATAAAGAGCAATCTAGAAAAAGAGTATGGTTTATCAGTACCTTACATGAAGCTTTGGAGAGCAAGAGAACAAGCCTGTTATACTGTTTTCGGTTCGGTTGATGATAGCTACAAATGGGTCCCAACATTGAAAGCTGAATTACTTGAAAGAAATCCGGGGTCACATATTACGTACACATATGATAGTTCAGATCAATCATTTCAAAGATTTTATGTTAGTTTTAATGTATGTGTTGAAGGATTTCTCAGTGGTTGTAGACCTCTTATCAGTATGGATGCCTGTCATCTTAAATCAAAGTATTTGGGTGTGCTTTTATCAGCAAATACACTTGACGACAATAATAGTTTATTCAATATAGTTTAGCGTTGCATACAATGGCGCAATAACCGCGCTACCTGGAAAGGCTCAGTTGAGAGTAGTCAATGATGTTGTCCAAATTGGAGTGCCAAGTACATTCAGACCGAGGGGTAGGCCTAAAAAAAAAAGATTAATAAATTTCTTGGAAAAGGACAAGAAATCTCATAAATATGGTAGGTGTGGTCTTTGGGGGCATCATCGGAGCACTTGCAAAAACCCACTCCAAAAAAAGAACAATGAGGCTACATATTCCACACAATATGGCTTCACGAGACTAGAAAAGTTACCATGCAGAAGGAATGTAGCTGACAATGAAGTTGAAGAATATCAATATTCATATCTTGGTGGTTTATAACTGCATCCCCTTAATGGCTTTTTGAATGAAGTTTTGGGTTTTTTGTATTGGTTTTTTGTATGAAAAAGAACTTATAAAACAACAAAGGCAATCATAGGTTACTTTGGGTTTTGTATTGATTTTTTTATTTGAATGAAAAAATTAAATCGAAACTGTAAAATAATAAATATTTTTTGAATGAAGTATTGCATCAGTTACATATCTAATTTTTTCAGGCTCTATTCTTCTCCATACAAGTTCTGATCGGAGAGCAAAAACAACATAGAACTTTTCCATATAAATTATTTTATTAGACATGATTTAATATGCCTAATAAAACAAATTGTGCAGGATATCCTGAAACAATTTCTCTTATAAGCAAGCAATGATATTTATTTCAACTCTATCAATTTTTGTTAGAAGCAAGCAATGATATTTATTTCAACTTGATCAATTTTTGTTAGAAGTAAGCAATGATTTGTTGAAACTAGTCGAGCCAGAAGAAACAACATTCATTTAATTTCAGAAGCTACAACACAGTTCAGAAGATATTCCATTACAAAAATTCAATAATGATACAACACAGTTACACACAACAAATACAACAAAAAAAAACATCCTAATGTTACATTACAATCATTGTTACGCAAAATACATCCTAATGATGATGTCGAGGGCAATAAGAGCAATAAACAGTTTCAATTGAAAGATGACCAAGTCAAGCTTCTTAAAAATCTTGTCGTCTGCAGCTTTCAAATCATAATGTGTGTCATGAGAAGGCTCTTCTAATTCATCTATCCATTTAAAGAAATTGCAATCGTCATTAGTTCGACTATGATGCACCTATAAAATTGTCTGCCTCGATTAGATCCTCGGTAGCTAGTGTACACCACACACTTCAACTGATAATGACAATAAATTTGTGAATGCTGCTGTGTGCTTTACCTAACAGAAGAATTGATTGAACTCATTGGAGACGAAATACAACAAAAAATATGTAGAATTTGTCAAAGTAACCTATGATTGAATTATTAGCTCAAAAGTATCTCAACTCTAAAATTAAAACAACATTTCATAAATAAATACATTACAGGTAAGAAAACTTCGGTATAGGCGGAGCAATCCGAAGAACTTTACCTTTAGCGGTGGTTTAGTTTACATAACTCACGGAGGGGAAGCAAATGTGGAGCAATCCGACCACACGAGGGAAACACCTTCTACTCGCGAGGTAAACCTAGAGCTGTTCAATCTAGGGATCGAAACAGAACAAATGGAGTGTTACCCGTGAAGGGAAGACTCGCGGGATGGGGAAGGGAAGACTTGTGGGATGGGGGATTTCGGTGCGTCCAGTTACATGTCATGAGAATGGGATAACGTCGTAAGCGGGGGGTTGGGACGGAGCGGTATATCTGATAATAGAATTGTGTTGAGGTGGTAAAAATGAAATAATAATGTTTAGGGTGTTAAATATGTAAAATAGAGGTTATAAAGTGGTATGGATGTAAAAACCCCATAAATTAAATCATGATAGAGATGATAAGTAGATGAAGGCTATGAATGATTTTAATGTTGATTTGTTGTGGCCATAAGCTTACAAGATAGTAGGTTGAAGAAGAAAGCATAAACCAATATGTTAAATAATTGTTCATAACCACATAGAGAATGAACATTTCAATCCCACCGACTCTTATAGACTGAGTGATAAGTATTAATTGCTCTTATAACAACTTGAGGGCAAAATGGATGGCTGAGATTGTTGCTGAAGAGAGTCCAGTTATCAAGATAATGAAATAATTTAAGGGTTAAATGGATGACTTTTAGTCATTTAATTACTCTATTTTGTTATAAGTAATTTTAATCATTCTAAATTAATTAAACATGATTCATCACTTTATCATGATAATTAAAAGGATAAAATGATGAATCTTGAAATTCAATCTTAAAATTCTAAATTCCGAAGCTTTTATTAATGTCTATCATACTCCAATTTGTATGAAATTCTAAAATCTAAAACTTTTATTAATGCTTATTATACTCAAATTTGTAAAATTCATCAAGGCTTATATAATCTTAGCTATTGGTATTTTTATTATTTATTATTTAATAATAAATTAAAATTGAGTTAAAAATTAATATTATGTGTCTTTTCATGAAGTAGAAAAAAATAGGAGCAAGAAGCGACCCTAATTCTAATTATTTCAAGTTCTAGTAAGAATATGACTTCAATCGAAGCCTACATGAAAAAAAAAGCAACAACGATGCCAACATGTATTGGTGTCAATTTATATTGGTGGATTAAGTTTAGGCCTGATTTGAAATTGGCTTAACTCAAAAGCTTTATTTGAATCCAACTTACTTATTTTATGGATCATAATATTTGATTCAAATCCAACTTGATTTGAGTAAGACGTAGATCTTAAAATTTCTTTAATCAACATAATTTATGTAAATCAAATATGATCCGTTTAACTCAAATTATCTTGTTTAAAAAGAACTTGATCATTTAAATATAAACCTAAATGATAATAAAGCAAATATTGAACTTTTGGGTCAACAAAAATTTGACCCAAAAATTAATTAGATAAAATTTTTTTACTGAACCAAACAATTTTTGACCAATCTAAAGCTAAGTTTTTAAAATCAAATTAATGCTTCCATTGTGATAGCTTTATTATTATTTTAATTTTAAATAACAAACATAATTTTTTTTATTTGATTATTATTATTTTTTTAAATATTAAAATTTTATTTTTTATATATTTTCTCTAACAGATATAAACTATCTTAAGAAAAACTATAACCACCAAACGTACTTTCAATTGAATTATTAAATGACCCCTCACGGTATGTATCGGGGCTTGTATCGGGGCTTTGCTCGCCCTAAAGATTTTCCGTCCACTATAAATGTGGGCATCAAGTTCTCGCTTCTCAGGCCAGCACTCATTTCCGCCGCGCTTACCTTTAGCCTAGGGTTGTGGTTTTCCACTTCCCATCGTCGACGCGCATGGATCTTTCCTCGAAGAAGCGCAAGGCGGACGATAATGTTGCCCCTCCCCTATCTCCTTCGGCTAAACTAACGATTGACGACGCTCGCAAAATTATCGAGTCCTTTACACAGGAGCAGCTTGTCGACATCGTCGCCGAGGCCATGTGCCGAGACTCCGGCGTTCTTGAAGCCGTGCGCGTCATCGCGAACTTCGACCTTGTCCAACGCAAGCTTTTCATCCGCGGCTTAGGATGGGAGACCACCACCGAAAAGCTCCGCTCAATCTTCTCCCAGTACGGAGAACTCGAGGAGGCCGTGGTAATCGCAGACAAAGTCACCGGAAAGAGCAAGGGTTACGGGTTCATCACCTTCCGCAACATCGATAGTGCCCTTCTTTCCTTAAAGGAGCCCAGCAAGAAGATCGATGGCCGAATGACAGTCACCCAGCTGGCTGCTAGTGGAGCCACCGGATCCACAGTCCCAGCTTTCCACGCTGCTGATGCTTCGCAGCGGAAGATTTTTGTTGGTAATGTCCCTGCTGATATGCTCTCTGACCGCCTCCTTGCTCTCTTCAGCTCCTATGGAGAGATAGAGGAGGGTCCGCTGGGACTTGATAAAGTGACCGGCAAGTTCAGGGGATACGCCTTGTTCGTCTATAAAACCGTGGAAGCGGCTCAGGCGGCTCTTGTTGAACCAGTAAAGAGTATTGACGGGAACACTTTGCAGTGCAAGCTGGCCATTGAAGGGAAGAAGGGGAGACCTGGGACAGCTGTTACAGCTGCTGGAGTGCAGGGCCATTTGTTAGCAGGCACTGGTTCTAATGGCCATGGTGATGGGCTGAGAATGGGCTCTAAGTCCTCATTGCCTGGATCCATTTCAAGCCAGTTCGGTGGTCCTGTTGGTGGGTTCTCGTCATATGGTGGCTTCTCTGGAAATGGTGTGCTCCCTGGGGTTGCTGCAGGTTTTGGCCAGCATCACCATCTCAACTCCACTACACAGCCATCAGTTGGTTTTGGAAATGCAGGTTTGCCATCTGTGGGTAGTCAGACGCCATCTTCGTTGGGTGGTTCTGGAGCTGGGGGCTATGGAGGAGGTGGTCTTAGTGGTGGCCCATATGGTTCCTCGGGTCAATACTCAGGTTCTGGTGGCTATGGAGGTTTTGGCATGGGTTCTTCTCTGTACCGGATGTTGCCAGCAGGGTCTGCTGGTATCCCTGCAAGTGGTTATCCTGAGAGTGGACCATACACTTCTTCCATGTACCAAGGTCAGCACCACCAGCCTGCAGGATCATCTCCTGGACCTAGGGTTCCACCTGGTGGTGGCATGTATCAGAACATTCCCCATTATTTCTAAGGTAATTGGTTTATTATTCATAATCTATCATGGGATTGCATGGTTTAAATGATTTTTGCTGCTTGTTTTGTTGCTTTTGGAATATCTTGTAGATGGCTGCAATATTAGATTGAATTTGCTTTGTTTTGAATTGAGTGTTAAATTTATGTCTCCATGAGTGTTTATATTTTTTATGCATATCCACCATGCCAGAGTTTATCATTAAAGTGAAAATCGTTTAGCCAACTGTAGTACTAGATTAATTTCTTTGCATGTTTTGTTGATGGGTGTTTTGTCATTCAATATTTTATTTCTTAATTTTATTATTACATATTCATTGCTGTTTTGGCATATGGTTGATGGTGTTATTTGTGGTTTGCATTGCCCATCAATCAAATGTTAACAGTTTGCTTTTAACTGCCTTCTGGTTAAAGAAATTGAGGTGAACATTGCATTTGTAATCGTTTCATACTTATTTGATTCCTTAGAATAACATGAGTGGTAGATGCATTTAACCATTTTCTTTCTAGGTTTACTAAATTTTTGGAATGCTTTGGATGATGCTGCATTTTCACATTTCAATTCATGACTTGGTGGGTGCCCAGCTTCTATCTGTCTTTAGTTTTTGGATGATCTTCTGGGATGTCATTTGCTTTGTTATGAATTGCGGCATTCATGGCTCATTTCTTGCTGTATCAATCCAAGTAACTCTAAATGTGATGGAACTGTCAAACATTAAAATTCAACTGAATTTGTGCTGATGTTTTCTTTATAAATGTGATATGCAATAAGTTGGCTAGGTTTGATTTTGAGAGCCATAATAGCTAGCTTGATTTTGAGTTAAAACATTTAATTATGATGTTCTAATATTTGAAATTAAGTTGTGCTTTGAAGATGCATGCAATGGATTTTCTTAGATATTATTTTTTCATGTTTTTTATTCTTCTTGATGCTCACATTGTTGGCCATGAGCACATGATTGAGTACTAGCTGGTTTGTTTTTATTTATTCTTCCTTTCTTTTTCACGCTCCCCCACCCCTCACCCTTTTAATGTTTAATTAATAGTTTTACGTGATATATATTGTGATTTTTTATTTACCTGATAAACCTTCAATGTTTATTTATTTTACTAAGAAATCAAAAGTATAATTTCGGCTGTCTTGTCAACCAATCAATAATGCCAGTTGCAATATCTTTGCATTTCTTTCCAAAATTGTATGCCCCTGGTGTGTTGAAAGTATCTACATGGTTTCTTTGTTGGATTATTTAAATATCACACATAGGCTATTTTCATGGTCTTATACATGTTATATCAATATTTTGGCACTATTACTTTCATACCTTGAGAAGTTTCTTTTTTGGGGGTCTATTATAGAAGTCTTATAATTCACTAAACGTATATATGCTTGCATATGTCATTTTCTTCTGGCCTATTTGGTCGTTTTAATTTATATCCCTTAATGTGTGTTAAATTGAGGTTAAACAATGGCTGATATGTTATGAAAATTAAGTAGTTATTGAAAGATGTTGCCTTTGCTCTCTATTCATTTCATTTTTGTGCTTTGTTATTTTATACTTGGATATTGTTTTGGAGTTTCACTATGACATGGTGCTGCTTGATAATTATTGCAATATCTGTTTCTCAGTTGTATTATTTCATTATTTGGAATATTTTTTTCACACCTTTCAAAGTGATTGAGTATTAGGAGGAATTGAATTGCAGCATTTAGTTTGATGATGTAGAGATAACCCTAGAAACGTATATCAATGTTTTGAGAATTTATGCAGAAACATTTTTTTGATTTTTTCTAGCTTATATGTCTTTGTTTCCACTTCTAAAATTCAGAATGGGGACAAAGATCAAATTTTAAACAAGCTGTGGCTCTTAATAATATGTTTTGGAGCTTTTCTGGTTGAAATGGTTACACGTTGAGTGTGTGGTATATGATTGGTTTCATTCACTGTGATATAATGTATTTATCAGAATTAATGAAATTAGTTGGCCATTCTAGCGAAAAATGAGGTGGAATGGTGTTCATGCGGGCATATTTTCTCAGAAGTATTTTTAAGTGAAATTTACTTGGTGACTTTTTACATAAATTTCATGCAATGAGTGTTCAGAATATCCAAAATTCCAAATATGGCCTTCTGATTTATCTTTAGTTTTATTTGATTTCTCATTTCAATATACTACTTTTCTTGCAATGAGCAATTACTCTAATGTTCAGAACATCCAAAATACCAAATATGGCCTTCTGATTTATCTTTAGTTTTATTTGATTTCTCATTTCAAAGTGCTACTTTTTTTTGGCATGGAGCTATTACTTTAATGCGCAGAATGTGTTTTGCCACATTTGCTTTATATATTAGGAACCTAATTAATAATTTCTTGCCATTGTAAATGAACTATTGAGGGAGAGTCCCTTGCATCTGTATTGTGCACTTCTTCATTAACAAATTGCTTTATTATGAGCTGTCCAATGAAAAACTATTATATTTTGTTAGCTTTAATTTGAAATACTTTTTTTCATTTTAGTAAAATTAGAAAAAAAATTCTTTTGTAATTTAGTTTCTTTAATATTATTCTTTTGTCAATGTTCTAAAGGATTATTTAGCTTTGTTTGATCTAGCATTGTATGGTCATAGTTTGAATGATTAGTAGGTATGTACCACATCGCAAGCTATTAAGTACTAGCACTAAGAATGTTTGATTTATTATTATTTTTTTGGCTGATTCTCTTGTAGTCTTGTTAGGACTTGTTTGCTAGTTTGTAGAGTTAGGATTACTGTATTTTCAACTTCAAATGTTGCTGTCTGTTGTCAGCTATAGTAGTGGTGATTCTCATGAGTCTACTTTCTGATTACAATATTAGTCTTCCACTTCAACTGTATTTTGGAAGAAACTCAGCTTTCAAATGAAGCTCTGCTTGATATTTATGCATTGACCCTAATTTTGTGGTTCTATGATTGTTGGTATTGTTTATGGGTTGGTCTAAAGCTGAGATGAATAAATCTTGAAGTGGATGCAACATTCTATTGTTTTGCCGGGGGGGTGGGGGTGGACTTGTTTGGAAAAGTGATAGATCTCAGTAGAGAATGGAGGAAAGTAGGGGGAGCTGCACAATTCAAGAAATTGAAGTTTGCTTGGGACTCCAAGCAAAAATTGGAGGAAGAAGAAGATAAAAGGGAGGTAATTTTGGTAGTATTTTTTTCTTATCTTCTTTTATACTCAAACTATTATATGTTTCTTTTCTTCTCATTATTGTTTCTTAGCCATAATGAAAGTATGACAAGTGTCCAGCAATATAACTTCCTATCCATTTTAATCATTTCATTTTATTTGTGTTCAGCCCCACCTGTACCCTTATCATTTCTCCACATTCAACCTACTCAGTAATTGAGGCGTTTTTCTTTCTTGTTTGCCAATTTCTTACTGTTTTGCTTCCTCACTTTTGCTGCTCGTACTTACCTTGGTTGTTACAGTCGGAATAGTTTCCCCTTCCCCATTAACTAGACCTTATCCTCAATGTTGAGTATAGGAAAATTTGCTAGGAATTCATCTTTTTCTAGCCACATTGAGTCATCCTGTTACAGACCTTCCCATTGGACTAGATTCTAGATCTCAATATTGCCACCTTTGGCATTGTAGTGTGTGTTGAGTATTTATATTGAATGGACAAAAGGGTTATTGACCATTTATTGTTGTGGAAGTTGGCTGAGCGAAGTGTTGTTCCAATAGTATACTTTGAGCCAAGATACTTGGAATGTAGGATGGATCTGTAAGGTAGCAGGCCATTAAGCCAACTCATTCCAACACAACTTGTAAGGACCATAGAAGCATTGTCAGTGGTTTAAATCATTTGCAAACTGGGGATTTTCTGTATGGTTGTAGTTTGTCAAGGGCCAAATCATTGATATTAAATTTGATGGTGCGCTAATGTTTATCCTCTTGATGCTTCATCCTAGGAGGTTATTCTTGAGGTTTCACAATGCCGCTTCCTGACTAAAAAATATCTTTTCCATTCTGTCAGTTGTTGAATCACGGCTTATATATGTGTGAATTGGGAGTGGAAATGTTTCGTAATTGAGTGAGTTATTTGGACTTAGTCATTTCTATTTTGCACTATATTGTATTTCTTGTGGACTTGCCCATCCTGTTGAATAAAGTCAGCGAAGCTTTCAGCACCATGGGAGATCTAGTGCTGTAATTGAGTGAGTTATTTTGAGTTGCTCTAAGAGAGATGGCATTGGAGTTTTCATTAGCACTAGTACTGGTGAATTAGTCAACTTTTTGTGATCTCCATGAATTATGTAAAGAGCCTCAACCATCTTATTATTGGCCCTTGGTTTACATTGAATTTGGAAATCATGTCCGTGCAGCTTGATGATGAAGTGTTGCCATTCTGGAGTGGGCATTGGGGTTTTCATTAACACTAGTACTGGTGACTTGGACAACTTTTTGTGATCTCCATGCATTATGTAAAGAGCCTAGACCATCTTATTATTGGCCCTTGGGTTACATTCAATTCGGAAATCATGTCCGTGCAGCTTGATGATGAAGTGTTGCCATTCTGGCATGTTTCTTTTATCTGTCCCATGAGTTTGCAGAGGCTTCTTTGATTTGTCTAAATAATAAATCTGCACCTAAAAGTTTTCACATCTATTTGGCAAGAACAACCATAACAAAAACATTTCTCAAATGTAGGTGAGATTTTATTGCATTTTTTGGATTGAGCCTTCTTTATTGTAGTAAGCAGTTGGCCTACCCTCCTAGAGTTTAGCGTCAATGCTGATACTCAAGGCATTAGCATAGATTATAAATTACTTGTTGAAGTCTGATAAGGCCAAGATTGGTGCTGTTTTTAATGTACATTTTAATGAGTAAATGTCTTAGCGATAGTGTTCTAGCAGATGACATTCTTTTGATTAAGTGATGTTGGCGATTTCAAGATGGTTGCAAATGCTTGATGAATTATTTATAATAACCTAACAATCTGAAAAGGCCTAATAGGCGTTTTCGT